TCTTTGTTATAAATTCTTTTGGGATTAATTTGTAATGGACACCAAGATGGAAAAAGTAAACAAGAAGAGAAAGAGGAGAAAAGTGAAAAAAGAGATAGAAAGGGACTTTTACCGTTTAAGTCGACTCAGTCTGGTAGTGACATGACGTGTGTGGAGTTACAATTCCTTAGATGTAAAGGAAGATAAATCAGAATGGTTTTTTTCTGTGTAGGACTTTTTGCTGAAGGAAGAGCACAGGATGCTGGATTACAACCTGACCACTGTTGGGCTGGAGCTCGTCAACGTGTCTGCGTCCTGGGATGAGGTTTGTTTGTGTTTGAGCAACACACAAAACTGAAACAACCACATTAAAATGGCTCACATGCATTAGCAAACATGTTAAAATATATCCATCTTCAATAAGACGTTATGGATACAGAACGTTTTGAACTGCATAATTCACAGGGGATTATAATATATTTGTACGTTTTATTGCTGTTAAACACCAAAGTAAAATCTGCCATAAATGTCTGAGGGTTGGTTTTAAGACACCATCAACTTTAAACCAACACAAGCTCTACGCTCTTTATATCCAGGTGTATTTGTGTGTGTCGAGCCTTCATAATGAAATGTTATGTTTGCAGAAGATAAATCCTTCAACTCACCGCGCAGAAGAGGTATAAAAACACATTCCTCACAGTCACACAGAGAGGATAGTCATTTATTATATTTAGGCAGCAGCTGTAAACTTATGCTAACAGGTGTGAGTCATTCAATACACAATACCGTGAGAAAAACGAACAAACACCAAGGTTTTTTTTCTCCCCTCAGCTGCATAATTAATTAGCTTTGTGTTGTCACCACAGCCTGCTGGGAACATTTTTGAATCTCTCTTTGAGACTCGATGTTCACCACCTAATTCCCAAAATCTCTTCTTGCCTTCTCCTCTTCCTGGAATGTGCCGTTTGCACACATTTGTGGCGGGGGCTGCTTTTGTACGTCAGCTCATTAGAATGAGAATCACTCAAAAAAAAACAAAAAAAAAAAAACAAGTCAGAGCCAGCCCTGGCATTTCAGGAACACTGACCTATGAAACGCCACAGAGGTCAATGAAGACGTCAGTGAGTCAGGAAGGCTTCCTCTTTTTTTTAACCATGTGCAGCGTCACTCATGATGACCGGTGAACATGTAACCACCGGGAGACTAAAGGTTCACTTCTGTCTTTGAAAGATTTGGTTTGTAAATAAGTTTAGCATGATGAAAACTCACAGTAAACCCTGAAATTTATGTACATGAAATAAAAAAATACAAATTATACACACCAATAATGATATCAACTCATACGTGGATAGGACTAAACTATCAATTTAAACTGAATGTCAGGATTAAACAGACTGAACTCAAAAACACAGTTGGGTATGGAGAGCTTGAAAGAATAATAATAAAAAAATGTACTTAAACAAGAATAAAGTGCGGTTGTGGCATCAACAACTTATAGACCTCAGGGAAAAATGGGATTTACCATGTAAACCATCACAGCTCAGCTGAAGCTGGAGTGAAATAGGCTGAAGCTAAAGAGGAGATGGAACAAAGAACAGGTGTAAACGGACGTGGCAGGACTGAGGAGCAGGGACTAACAGTGGAAAAACACAGATAAAGGCTGGAAACAGGGAACAAATTGAACACAGAGTAACAGAAACTAAACCCTTAAGAAATAAATGTGAAAATAAAACCAAAACTAAAAACTTAAAAAATGATTACACTGATCCTGACAGGGATTAATTATAAATTAGAATTGGTAGATTATTTCTTTGTTGTAACAATGATTCTTGGCAATAAATTTTTACTGTTGGAAAGCCTGTAAATATTTCTTTTAAATGTTGCCACATTTGTAAGGAACATGCATTTGTGGAATGAGCAGTTGAGCTGAGTATGTGGATTGTGAACATGGTAAATTAGCCAAATCTTCTCTGTCAAACAGCTTATTTTGTTGTTGTTGACTCTTGTTTTGAACTTCTGATACCCCCAGGTGCCAATCAGTGAGCATGAGCTAATCAGTAGGTGACTGCTCCAAGAACCAACATGCCACGTTTGACTGATCTGGATAGAGCCTGTGTGATATGGGAACTTGAAGCTGGTGTTCTGCGAAACTGTTATGGTATTATTTGGAGGGAACCCTAGTACCAGCTCCAAACTGAAGGCTAAATTCTACCGTACACAACAGGGGATATTAGAGAAAAAAGTCGATGTCCCGAGAAGATGGTTTCCTCAACCTGTCAGTACTTAGTAAACTCTCTTCTACAGATTTGCAGGATGATAAGGCCGATGGCTCTCTGCCCAGATAATCAGCAGCAGACTGCACACAGCCAATCTCTGGTTTCATTGGGCACCAGGAGGCCTGTCATGACTGCTCCCCACCGTCAGGCTCATTTAAACTGGTGTCTGAAAGTCCAGATTCTGCCTACGGCAGCTGGATCATACAGTGAATCAATAGAGGGACATAATTTGGTGGAAGCAGTGTAACGATGTGGGGTTGTCATCATTATAGTCAATGGTAAATGGTAAATAGACTGTACTTATATAGCGCTTTTCTATCCATCCAGGACACTCAAAACTCTTCACACTAATCTGTGTCCTCATTTACCCATTCACACAGCACTCTGTTATGTCTCTACAAAGCTAATGTAAAATCATCTATGGAGACTAACCAGTGCCAATCACATTCATACACTGATGGGACACACATCAGAGGCAGTGTCTTGCCAAAGGACACAACAACTGAGACAGCTGGATGGGGGATCAAACTGGCGACCTTCTGGTTCCAGGACGACTCCCCTAACCACTCTGCCACAGCCGCCCCAATCTCACTGCAGAGAGATATCAAGATGAAATTCTGCAACCAGTGGCAATCCCATATGTCCAGAGTGACCAACACAACCACTGTGGCTGACTTGTGACAAATGCTGGGTGGAATGCTCCTCCTCATGAGGAGGAGGTGTCAGGCCGGCAGAGTTGTAAAGTAACTAAGTACAAATAATTTGTTACTGTACTCAAGTAGAATTTTTGGGTGTCTTTTCTTTACTTGTGTAATTACTTTTCAGCCTACTTTTTACTTCTACTTCTTACATTTTCACACAATTATCTGTACTTTCTACTCCTTACATTTAAAAAAAAAAAAGGTCAAAGTAGAAAGTTGTTACTTTTATTTCATTTTTGTTTGTTTTCATTCCAGATTGCTATTGTAAAAATAAATACTATCCATAAAATTTGTGCCTCCTAGATAGAGTGAATTTAATTGTGGTTGAATGAGAAGTATAAATATATAAAATTTTGATATTGTATCAGTTTGTACACAAACAAATCATGTCACACTCCAGCATTAAAAATGAAAGTACTGTACTTAGAAAGTATTTGTATTTCATGAATTATATTATTGCATTTGGCCGCAGCCCTCAGATGGATTTTTATTTTGGGGAACAGTTTTGGGCAGCCTTGATTTATGTACATTTTGTATCACGGTCTGGAGCCAAGCAGCTCAGTCTGCTTTAAAACCAATGAGGCTGGTGGACAAACAAACACTGAGAGTTTTAGATCAAAAACCATTGAAGTGGCACCACTATAAAATACTGGAGAAATATAGTTTTTGAACTTTGACAGTTTTTTTTTTACAGTTTTCTCTCTTAAAATTGACTTTCAAGTGTATCAACAGTCTTGCCCCAGATATAGTGTGCAGAATGATCTTAACAGTCAGCAGTACTGGAATTGCAACGAGATGTGCAGTTAATGGAGATTGCAAACCTGCAAAATATGAAACGTCATTTGGTCAATGTTCCTTCTCATTTAGAGGCCCTCATACTTGGAACACTTTACCATCAGCAATGAAAATGTTGACAGATATTAAAGTTTTTAATTCTCAGGTGAAACATTGGCTGAAACAAAAGCAAATATGTGAACACTGAGGGAAACCAGCCAAATTTGTTGAGTTGTTTAATTTGATATTTCTGATGCTTATCTTTTCATGTATTTCTTGTCACTAGTTATCACTCAGGGTGAGTGTGTGCGCGCGCACGTGTGTGTGTGTGTGTGTGTGTGTGTGTGTGTGTGTGTGTGTGTGTGTGTGTGTGTGTGTGTGTGTGTGTTTGTGTGAGGGGGTGATTGAGTGAGTAAGAGAGAGAGGGGACTGTTTTTATTTTATTTTTAGCTGTTTTTATTTTAAAAGTCCAACCAAGGACTGGGTTTGCAAATTAGCCCATGGCTAGAAAACCCTTGTACATAGCAACAGTTGCTTGTATTTTTTTTATCATGTAACATTATTTATTGTGCTGTCCTTGTTCAAATGAAATGAAATGAAATGTGTAGAAACAAAAACAGCTAGACTAGTGCATCCTAAATTACGATATAGTCATTTCTGAATTTTTGGGAGGTCACCTTCTAATAAATATCATTACAGAAAATCTAACTACTCATTTTAAATCAATACTTTTACTTTTAATACTTAAGTACAAAAAATATCAGATACTTTAAGACTTTTACTTAAGTAATATTCCTAAAGGAGACTTTAACTTTTACCAAAGTAATTTTTGGTAAGATACTTGTACTTTTACTCAAGTATCACTTTGTGGTACTTTATACAACACTTCAGGCTGGTGTGGCTGTGCATGGTTCTTCCATATGCTACTACACTCACCGGCCACTTTATTAGGTACACCACGCTAGTAACGGGTTGGACCCCCTTTTGCCTTCAGAACTGCCTCAATTCTTCGTGGCATAGATTCAACAAGGTGCTGGAAGCATTCCTCAGAGATTTTGGTCCATATTGACATGATGGCATCACACAGTTGCCGCAGATTTGTCGGCTGCACATCCATGATGCGAATCTCCCGTTCCACCACATCCCAAAGATGCTCTATTGGATTGAGATCTGGTGACTGTGGAGGCCATTTGAGTGCAGTGAACTCATTGTCATGTTCAAGAAACCAGTCTGAGATGATTCCAGCTTTATGACATGGCACATTATCCTGCTGAAAGTAGCCATCAGACGTTGGGTACATTGTGGTCATAAAGGGATGGACATGGTCAGCAACAATACTCAGGTAGGCTGTGGCGTTGCAACGATGCTCAATTGGTACCAAGGGGCCCAAAGAGTGCCAAGGAAAGATTCCCCACACCATGACACCACCACCAGCCTGAACCGTTGATACAAGGCAGGATGGATCCATGCTTTCATGTTGTTGACGCCAAATTCTGACCCTACCATCCGAATGTCGCAGCAGAAATCGAGACTCATCAGACCAGGCAACGTTTTTCCAATCTTCTCTTGTCCAATTTCGATGAACTTGTGCAAATTGTAGCCTCAGTTTCCTGTTCTTAGCTGAAAGGAGTGGCACCCAATGTGGTCTTCTGCTGCTGAAGCCCATCTGCCTCAAAGTTCGACATGTTGTGTGTTCAGAGATGCTCTTCTGCCTACCTCGGTTGTAACAGGTGGTTATTTGAGTCACTGTTGCCTTTYTATCAGCTCGAACCAGTCTGCCCATTCTCCTCTGACCTCTGGCATCAACAAGGCATTTCCGCCCACAGGACTACCGCTCACTGGATGTTTTTTCTTTTTCGGACCATTCTCTGTAAACCCTAGAGATGGTTGTGCGTGAAAATCCCAGTAGATCAGCAGTTTCTGAAATACTCAGACCAGCCCTTCTGGCACCAACAACCATGCCACGTTCAAAGGCACTCAAATCACCTTTCTTCCCCATACTGAYGCTCGGTTTGAACTGCAGGAGATTGTCTTGACCATGTCTACATGCCTAAATGCACTGAGTTGCCGCCATGTGATTGGCTGATTAGAAATTAAGTGTTAACGAGCAGTTGGACATTTGTACCTAATAAAGTGGCCGGTGAGTGTAATGCTGTTTGTTAACTTAATAAATGGTTAAACTGCCAATATGACTTGTTTCTTCAAATCATCCAGTCCGCCAGACACCAAACGAGTCAATGGCAGAATAAAATGCCATATTTGTTGATGGTTGAAAACCCAGTGCAGGTGAGTCTTGAGGAGGCTCAAGGCAAAAAAAAGCTTTGTTCCAAAAATAAGACTGCTGATGTGGCAGCTCAAAAGGTCCTCACAAAACTTCATGACAAGACTGAGAGGAACACAGGAGGAACAAACACAACTGACTCTACAGAGAACAATCCCTGACTGATACATCACTGGAGGACTCAGAATATAAAGGGAACTTAATTAACACAAACCACCAGGGGTGGGCACAGTTCTGTTCATCCATCTAATTATTTTATTGTAATTCTTTACAGGGGATAGTTGAGCTCTTTGAGAAGATCAAGCTGGAGAACAAAAACAACGGACACCTGAACGGGGACAGCGGACTCTTTTTCACCAACTTGTACGTCACACCTGTTCTCAGAAACATCAGCCTGCGCCTGGAGCAAGGCACCATGCTCGCAGTGTCTGGATCTACTGGCTCAGGAAAGGTAGACTGAAGGAATGTTTCCTTCTAAAAAAATCAAAAAGGAGCTCCCATGACATGTTAGACTGAATCTGGATTCTGTCTGCGTCCTCAGAGTTCTCTGCTCATGATGATCTTAGGAGAGCTGGTGCCGTCGGAGGGTCAAGTCAGACACAGCGGGCGCATTTCTTACTCATCACAGACTTCATGGATCATGCCAGGGACCATCCGGGAGAACATCTTGTTCGGTTTGACCTATGATGAGTACCGCTACACCTCCATTATCAAGGCCTGCCAACTAGAAGAGGTACTTTCCATTTTTACATCATTCATCCTCTGGTTTTTGTTGCTGCTTGGTTTAATCCAAACTATACAGACTGACTGTTATTAAAAATAAAAATATTAAGGATGCATCTGTCCTCTACAGAATGAGTTGGTGCGTACCATACAATTCACTGATACCAAAAGAGCTCTAAATATAAACTTTCACTTTGATTAAATATATATATTTTTAATTATTGTGGTTTCTGGTTAACTATAAAACATTGATCAGACAATAAAAAAATCTTATAAAAATCAGTTCACTGACAACAATCATTAGTTAAAATAAATAAAGTGCTTTTAACACATTTTCTGCTTTCTGAATGTAAGGGTTCAACCTTACTTTCTTATAACAAGGTTATAAGAAGATAAATATGATTTTATCCACAGAAAAACCAAAAATAGCTGAAATCTTACTGAGGGAGAAAAGAGATCTGTCCTCTTTTCTCCTGTAACTTTGATAAACATTCTCTGATTATCAAAATGCGTAAAAACTTTCAGTTAAGAGAACAATAAATCAAATAAGACTAAGATTCTTCTGTCTATTATCTGATTAAGAAAAAGAGAATGTCTCTTTCACAAGTTAAGGCGACCTGATGTGGCCTAAATTCAGTTCTAAATGGAACAGAGTTTTGTCCTTTTAAAGGCCCATCAGAGGTCTGAGGTCCAAGACAGTTTCCTTGATTATTTCACTCGAGGTGACCTCTACATGAGTTACAATTTTATGACTTCCTGTAAGGGTGTTGAACACACAAATGGGAAAACAGACAAAGTTATTCTTCTGAAAACAAAGGAAAAGTCTGAAACAGTTTTTTATTGGTTGAACGTTTTATGGTGCACTATTTTATTGAGAGCTTGATATTATCAGTTTTCCAAGCCATGATTTATGTATTTTATAATGGTTTGCGTATTTTATTGTATCACTCTGTCATATCCTCCCCTTTCAGACTGAAAAGCAGTGATTCACACAAACCCTTTGTTTTTTGGTGACTCATTGAATTATTAATTTATTGCTTCATAAATCAGACTCAAACGTGACCGAAAGAAACATTCCTGTTGATATTTTTACTTTTCTTATCAATACCAAACCAGGCTTTAAATACCATCCATCCATCCATCCATCCATCCATCCATCCATCCATCCATCCATCCATCCATCCATCCATCCATCCATCCATCAGTCTGTCCATCCATCCATCCGTCCATCCATCCATCCATCCATCCATCCATCCATCCATCCATCCATCAGTCCATCATGGGAGTAGTGGAGCAGAGGTTAGGGAAGATGAGTCTGTGAGTCAGAAGGTCACTGGTTCAACTCCTGAACCAACCAGCCCCACTTGAGCAAGGCCCTTAACACCTCAGCTGCTCCCCTGGTGCTGTAATTGGCAGCCCACTGCTCCACATGTCTGTTCACATGTGCGATGGGTAAAGTGCAGAGAATTAATTTCCCCTCTGCGAAACAATAAAGGCTATTAAAATCTAAAAATAAAAAAAATAAAAAATCCATCCATCTCCAGCTCACCTGGAGGATGTATTTACACAGCTGAGAGTTTTGGGTCTGTTCTGAGGTTTCCTCCCTGTGGGGTATTCCTAAAACATCTTTCTTGGAAGGTGTCTAAAACATCATTACCAGATACCAACAGGCTCCTTTCAAAGAAAAGGAGCACTGGCTCCTCTCTGAGCAGCTTCCAAACAGTTAAACTTCTCACCATGTTGCTGAGGTAAAGTCCAGCTGCTGGTCAGAAGAAGAAAGTTTCAGTTTTATTTGTAATCACATTCTATCGATCATTACCTTTTAGCTCCTGACTACAGGAGAGTTGAACATAAATTGATTGATTCATTGAGAGTTTTCACCTCTTCTCTCTTCACAACAACAATTGAGAACAGTTTGTGGAAAATGCCTCAAAAAACTCCTCCACTCAGGCCAGTAACTCATTCTTAGACAAAGGTTATCAATCCACCCTCTTCTGTTGTCGGCTTCAGACTGTGAGGAACTGATCTTCATCCTGGCTGCATCACATTTAGCTGCAGACCACTCCAGTAGCTGCTGGAGGTCCGGCTTTGATGAGTCCTACAGGAACACATGAGCTGCATAATTACTGTATTTTCTGGACTATAAGTCGCTTCGGAGTATAAGTGGCAAAAGTAAAAATATGCGTCATGAAGAGAAAAAAAAAACACAGATAAGTTGTACCTGAGTGTAAGTCGCATTTATTTAGAAATGTATTTTATAATGTCCAGGCTTAATTAACATTCTGTAGCAAACCAGCCAGTCTGAAAAGCAAATTACAGCTTCACCGATCTCACTCCACATCACTGAATCCTTTAAAGTCTTCATCCTTGGTGTCGTTTCTGAACAACTCCGCCAACTGCAGAGGAGTGCTGCCGTCAGACTCAGCTTCAGTTCCCGTTATTCCAGCCTTTCTGAATCCTGACAGGATGGTTTCAACTGTCACAGAAGTCCCTGCTTTGTCAATCCACTCAGTCCAGTCTTTCTCAGTTTTCTTTATATTTATTAATACTTCGGCTATTTAAACTAACACAAAAAAATATATATATATTTTTATATATCACAATTCTATGGAACCCCATCATGGCTGTAGGCAGTATTGTTCATGTCAGTCATTTAATATTAAATGCAACAGCGAAAAAAGAGGCGTCGTGAAGAGAGAGAGAGAGAGAAAAATGCATAAATAAGTCGCTCCGGTGTATAAGTAGCAGGACGAGTCAAACTATGAATAAAAGTGCGACTTATAGTCCGGAAAATACGGTATTCACCAGATATGAGTCGGACTCAGGCAGAGCAAACCAACCTGTCACTTCAGCTGCACAGGGACTAAATGGTCCTTTGCAGGGGACATGAAACCCTATATCCCCAAGGTACCCCGCACCACTGCCCAAACAGGACCCCACAAAGGACGTGATCATAAGCCCTATTCAAATCAGCAAATGTGAAACAAACCCTCAGATATCCTCCTGATAAGTGGGTCCAGTGGTCCTAGCATGTCGTACCTGCTACCTGGTTCAGGGGGTACCACCACCCCTTAATGACCTGGTTCCCTGGGACCCAGAAAGGAAGCAGCAAGGAAAGAAAGTGGACGGATGGATAATGTACTATATGGAAACACATCATATTAAAATATAAATTAATCTGATTTCAGTCAGGTTTAAACCTGGATGTGGATCAGATTTATGATTTGTTTTTGTTCTTTTACATTGTTCTCTGAGAGGACTTGTTTGTTTTAAGATGATTTAGTTCCTCCTAAATCTCTTGTTCAGCTCTCAGTCTCTCCTCTCCAACACCCACCTACCAGACCCTCACCTTCCCACGAGTGTCCTCTTTCTGCAGTTGGGAAAAACACTCTGCTTTTATATTTAAATAAGTAGGACCATCCCCTCTGACTGTCAACCACTACAGCCCAGTTACAGTACTACCAGGGTCTTTAGGGAATCGAGACAAATCTCTTTCTCCTCATGTCAACATGTTGCTTCAGCTCCAGTGATGAGGTCCCCCACAGACCCCATGACCTCTGCTTCCACATCAGGAGAACCTTAAAGGATGCTTGCTTTCAGGAAATACTATGAATTTAATTAAGGACACAAAGTGTCAAACTCCTGATGAGAAAATAAACGTTTTTTTCTTTAGACTAAAACTTGACAACCCGGCACGATTGTCTGTCTTTTGCTAGTATTGCATGATGGATTTTAAATTTATGTCAGCACTGATCATGCTGTGTTTGTTTATATTTTGCAAGCAGTGACTGATCTGACAGGTAGACAGGCTGTTTGAATGATGGCAAAACAAAACTGAACATTGTATGAACCTTTTGTTTAAACTTTGAAGGTTCTTTATCAACATACACAAGTCAGAGACTGATTTAAATTTGATTTGACATGAAGATTTTATTTGATTGATTTCAAACTTTATTCATTCCATAAAAAACTAAATTCTATGTCCAATTAAAAATACAAATAAAATGAAAAAATCTTATATTTGCCCCTTTTTTCTCAAGTATAAATTCAAACTATAATAATCTTTAGTTAACAAAACATTGAATCTTTCTAGAACAACAAATTGAATGGCTACATATTAAACC